TCGATCATTTTGCATAATCTGAATGTACTAAATTGATTGAATATATAGGTGGGACACTCGCTTTCACTGACTGGAACAGGCGGTCGATCCCTGGAGAGCCGACTAGTAGTGTAGTCTCTATTATCTAATCATCTGGATTGGACGATTGCTTCCAGTATCATGATCATTATCCCTGTACAGATATGCAACATATATGTTATTTGTCAAGGATACTACAGAAGCTTATATCAATCGATTGTGGGGGGCCGTTAGCTCGCCCTAAAACAACTTTAATTTTTAGATCATCGTATTAGTATAGTATAGTTCTATTATCTAATCATCTAGATCGGAGTCATTGGACGAAGGCTTCCAATATTATGATCATAGTTATCCCTGCATAGATATGCAACAGATACGTTGTTATCAAGGATACCACAGGAGCTTGTATAAACGAGTGCGAAGTGCGGAAACTAGTTTTGCTTGAATATAATTTACTCTTGGGGTCATGATGTCATCATATTACATTAGTGTAATTCCCAATTTTCTGAGTGTGACTAGAGGTTTTAATGGAGGAACGTAGAGAGTTAGCAAACTGGCTATCTCTAGTGCCTCACGTGTAGGTCTGCTTGTGGAAAGTGGACTAGAGTGTGTGTGGGTTATTCGAGAAAATTATCCCAATCAATGGGAACTTTCACCCTTTCATGAGTTATCAACGCTGGAACAATATTGGTAACTTAACGTTTTAACTCCACTTCTTGCACCTAAATTAAGACAATTTTGGGCTGGACTTAGCTTAATTGAACATAAGATATCTCAAAATGTCACGGTACTAAAACTTGCTTTTACTTTGATAAAAACCAATGAAATTAACAGCTTGATAGCCTTCACAAAGGTCTGAAAGGGCATAGTAGAATTCGAGGAGGAATCCTGGATGGTTTGGCTTGAAGTGGTCCCTGGAAATATTCAGTTAGTGACTCTCTAAATCCCTCTAAAATAAAGAGGAATATCCCTGTACCCTGCACAGATATGCAACAAAAGCTATCCTGGAAATCTTGTATAAAAGCTTACACGAACTCAGAAGCTTAGTGGCGTCTAATTGTTTGAAAGTGCAACGTCCATTTGTCTAGTCCAATAAGACAGGAGCTTGACAAAAGCTTCATAATTAGTATTTTTTCTGGAAAGAAGTGGAACTGACCCAAAGGGGCTCTTTGCTATCTTATTTGTGGCTTGATCTTCTTTGAGACTGCTACTCTTTGTAGCCTAGGAGTATATCTCAGTGAGAAGGTTCCCACTTTCCCGAATCCTTATGAATAAATCACTCATTGGTCCGTGATTTTTCGACCATCACCCACCGCTTGCATTTATATGTAGTATTTTGAGCGGAGACATGGAAGCCAACAGCTAGACCTATAGCTTAATTCTACTCCACTTCCTCTCTTTCTCCAACAACATGCATTCATCTTCCTTTTTCGTCGAACTTTTTCAAGTTTCGATGCCTCAATCATGAAATGAACATTCAATCTCATCGATCTCACGATCTTTTCAACAAGGGCCTTGCCCTCCCCTTCTCCTCCGATATCCGATACGTTGAGGTGAATCTCTGGGCATGGTATTTAATTTTTCGAGCTTAGGGGAAGAGGTTCTCCATGCCTGTTACACAAATGTGAGAGAAGGAAGGTATCATCAATATCCAGGAAAAGGACGCTTCCCCCATCCTATTTTCTTCGATATTCATCAAGAAGGTGGACCCGTGGCTATACAGATGTCTACCATCTACAGCTACATCGCTTTATTTCTACACTGCATCTACATTTTTGGGAATACAATATCAATCTCATATGACGTCATGGTCTAGCCTCTGCCAATTTACCATTCCATATAGATTTTAGCTCCACCGAGATTGATCCTCAGATTAGATTGGTTAGACACGAAAGGGTTCTTCCATACCATACCTTAAATGACAAGGACAGAAATGGTTACACCAATCCAAGTAGATAGAGCCTCTTAAGTGAGTGCGCGCTGTGGCGATCTTAGTTAGCTCATAAGATTTATAAAATGAAACGGTGTTTAAGCCGAAAGCCTCATGGTTAGCGAAGTTCAAAAAAGACGAACACTGTGTCCCCAAATTTGCCAAGCCGATATGGAAGAAGAATTGACGGAAATGCGATTAACAACATATCCTTGCAGTCTGTGGAACAAAACGTGTATTGAAAGAGCCTAAGCAGAAACTTACGTGAAGTATATGAGTTAATAGAAAACCGGCTTCATCCGAAAGTGTCATGGACTTGTTGTTTAGACTTTTTAGTTCCGAGACTATCCGAACTTTTCATACTATGAATAGGAATCCTTGCATAGATATGCAACAAATTATTCGAACCGGGGTGGAAAGTAAAAAGAGAGCTTAGGGTGGCTCAGAAGAATGGTGGCAAGGAGAATTGGAAGCTCTGTATAGCATAGCTTCGTTTTGACATGTTTTCGGCTTGCTAAAGTCAGTAAGCGTTTGATGTCATGAGTTGACCAAAAATTGTAAGAAAAGATTCTTGTATAGATATCAAGTTTAGAATGAATCTTTGCAAACCAAAATCTATGAAGGCTGGTACGTACAAATTTCAGTGGTAAGCTTATATACTGATGAAGTAAGGTTCTCGCCGACTCACTCAGAGTCCCAGAGTCTTCAATCTTACCATAAGAGGGTCCTAGGGTTCCATTAATGGGGTAGGAGCCCCGTTTAATAATGGTACCGTCAGATGCCTAGATTGAAGAATCTCAGACACTTAAACTTTGGAAATTGACTAGCCTTTCTAACACGATAGAGATACACCCCTGTAGAAACCGTTCATGCCGTAGCATGATAAAGTTTTGTGCGAGCTAAGCATGGGTTAGAATTTAGAAGCCATTTATCTATCCACCTAATAAGTAGCTTCATGTTAGCTTGTTGTCGGCTTGCCAAACCCCTGCATAGTATTTAATAACTAGTCTGTCTATACTACTATACTACTAAGTAGCATTACAAATCCCTGTACAGATATGCAACATACGGGCTTATTTCCAAACTATAATAAGGGTTTGTGCGGGACCAGCAGAAATTGGAAACTGTCCATGTCCTAGTAGAAGTTTAGTAGATAGCCTCACCCAAACCCTTGCTCCACATGCTGAAGTCTCCAAGCACAGCACTTGATAACTAGTTCTATCAGTTACCAATACAAATGCAGACACAGATCCCTGTCCCTGCAAAGATGTGCAACAAACAAATTTGATGCCAGATGAAAGATTGCTAGCACCCAAAATGTATTCATGATATAATTAATTACATAGGTTAATACAAAGTCAAACAAGTAGTTCGAGCCTTCCCACATGGATCTTGACACTATTTCATACAATATATCAAACATACATCCCTATACAGATATCCAACAACTAAATATAACACTAGTGTAGTAATTGCTTGTGCGAATAAGGTTCATTGGTGGGAATAGCGGAAGACCAGAGGAATCGGTGATTTCATCCTCTGCAGTAGAAACGCCGATTTTTATATTAAAGAAGAATCAATTACCTGAGAATTTTTGTGTTATTTGCAGACCTAAGTATGAGATGAATTAGGATTAGTGATTCCTTTCAGAAAATACTAGTACAGCCAAGCTTCGTTCAATTTGAGTATAGCGACACAGCCATCTGGATCGATATATGATGATAAAATCGGCATATTTCTGCATCTATCAGCCATGTAACATGTCATAAACCAAGAGAGAAGGTTGGAATGTGATATCTTAAGACTTCAGATCAGTATATGAGAATATCTGTTTTAGGGCTGAGGATGTGAGGTCTATTATCTCATATCTTCTTCGACTAATTATCTTTTCTTGCATGTGTACATCAACCTTTCGAGACTTTTAGATGAAAGCCTTTGAAAGTTTAGTTATGGTGCTATCAACTTCTCTATCTCATATCGATCTTTGGTTGAGACATTGATTATTACATAGTTAGAATAGTGGTCTTAATAAATCAGATGAGTACTCGAGATTATATGATCTAAGAGATGAAGAGTCTTTCCCAAATCCGTCTCAACTCCAAAACAATAAGGTCAATCAAATCCTCGTCTTTAGCGTGCTAGCAAGTACATCACCACTTTATACAAACATTTTTGACTTTCCATTCCCGTACTTCTCGGCTTTTTGATCCTCGTTTCTTCCAGTCCCACTTGCGAAAATTGCGAGAAATGGACCACACGCGCTGACTTCACTATAGCATATTTCATTACCGATTTCGAAAATCGACATATGTGCGGTGGTCTTTCCTTGGTTGTAGCTCCTTACTCCATGACGATAAATTATGTACCTCCTGATTCCAGTAACGACGAGCAAGGTCCTGCGTCATATGGTGCATTATGTACTGATTGGACTGGGCTCAGTGTGGGTTACACTGAATGTGATTATGTGATGCTTCATTTGAAGAGGCGATAACTGCTGGCAAGGATGCTGGAGTTGTGAAGGTTTGGATGGAATTTGAGGCGAATGGACATCCTTGAGATGGGAAAGCGGACCGTGACATTGACATTTTCGCATTTCACAACACAAGGCAAAGAAAGATAAGGTTTGAAAAATGGATTTGATTTCTCAAACAGGTTCGAATCAAAAAGAAAATTCATTACTGAAGTTGAATTCGGATTATCATACTTCCCAAAAGAATTGACTAAGAGAGGCCGAATACCGTGACACTATTCAAGTACAACTCTTATAAACCGCCGTATAAAACAATAGTCGAAGAGAATTAAAACTCGAGATGTTTTATTATTTGCTAAAGGAAAAGTAAAAATAATACTTGCTAGCTTAATTATTTAATAATATACTCGAGTAGACAAATAAGTATTAATTCCAAGAACACAATTAATATCTAGTGATTTGGTGCCTTAGGCAATCATGCTCCACCACCCAACCAACCTATGAACATCGAATCCCCATTTCAAATCTCTTCACCTCTTTATACCCTCTTCCAAAAATCCAAAAATATGTAAAATCCTTTTACGAGCGACAAGGGACTCGAACCCTCAACCTTAGACTGGAAAGCTTCCTAATAATAGGAGGTCCACACGCTACCATTGCGCCAATCACCCAATTAACTATATTCCTTCGACCACCTTGAGCTAGAATATTATGTCCGAACACAAAAGGAACTCGCCCACAAAGATTTAAAAAGTCACGTGCTACATCTGGTGTGACTTATGAAATGCAAGTGATTGGTCAATTTAGTGCCCCACGTTGATCATTTAAGTTATAGTATTGGGCAACCTCGACTTCTTTTGCTATCGGTACTTACTCGGGGTATGAGAGTTTTAATATATTGTATTGTGCCTAGGGGAAGGCTACCTTAGAGTTTAATCTTTTATATAAATTGATTTCCTTCTCGGATCTCTGATCTACATCTTTTGTAATCTCACCAGCTATCAGAGTTTTGGTAAGGTTATCAACCCAACAATACCTTCTATGCGTCATCATTTTTGAGACTTAAAACCCAAACTATCATCAAATTTCTTGATCTTTTGATATACACACTCTCTTCATACACATCATGGCATTTTCCATGCACAGTCACTCGGGACAATTTTGTCCTGGTCACGCAAAAGATACCTTGGAACAAGTGATCCAAACCGCCATTTCCCGGGGCATGCAAACCTTTGCATTGACAGAACACATGCCCCGAAATTCCAACTCGGATTTATATCCCGAAGAAGTAAGTCTCTTACCATCCCCATCACTCTTACCCCCCAATCTAACAGACCCCAGGTAGAAGCCGGCGATGATGTCTCCATTTTAATACCAAGACATGAAGCTTATCTGATGGAAGCGATTCGTCTTCGGAAGAAATATCAGAATGAACTTAATATCCTCATCGGGTTTGAAGGAGAATGGATTCGTTCGGATTATGGACCTTTGATCCAACATCTTGCATCGAATCCTACCATAGATTTTTTTATCGGCTCGATACATCATGTGAATGAGGTACCGATCGATTACGATGCTGCGTGGTATGCAAAAGCTGTGGAGAAATCGGGGGGTTCGGAAGAGAAATTGTATGCGGATTATTATGAACAGCAGTATGAGATGTTGTGTGCGTTGAAACCGAAGGTGGTGGGACATTTTGATTTGATTAGGTTGTTGAGTGAGAAGCCAGATAGGCATTTGAAAGAGTGGAAGAGGATTTGGGGGATGGTTTTGAGGAATTTGGGGGAGGTGGTGAGGTATGGGGGTTTGTTGGAAATTAATACTAGTGCGTTGAGAAAGGGACTAAAGGAACCATATCCGGGAAGACAGATTTGCGAGGTACGTAGTACTTGTAAAAATGGAAAAGAGGGAATACTGACATAGGAATAGGCCTATATAAACCTGGGTGGAAAATTTACAATGTCTGACGATAGCCATGGTATTGGTCATGTTGGGACGAATTTTGTTAGAGCGATAGAGTATTTGGAGTCTCTCGGGATCAAGGAAGTCTTTACGTTTGAGCGGAATAATACGGCGGACTCGAATGAGACCGTGAAGTCTTTGAGCTTGAAGAGTGTGCCTTTGTCTAGTGTAAAGGAGACTTTCATCCCGGGATGATTCATAAGTTTTTGGGGTAATTTCATATCGTTCAACTATGTATTATGACGGTCATGTGTTTCGGTATTTCTTAGAGGGTGTGCTATAAGTTGGCCGTGAACGCGATATCTAAGGCACTAGAAGTTTCAGAATGTATTAGAATGGCAATATAAAAGGGTCGAGGGGACTGTTCCCATCCGCGGGTGGCTTCAACTATTTATTTCTATTTTTAGTTGGGAGATGAGTTCATGAGAGCGTCATATCTGCTATTTAATTCAAGGTATCTCGATTAGATTCTTGTCAATCAAATTCACCATGCAGTTAATGTCCCAAGGTATATAAAATGCATTTTCCCGTACAATCTCGAAAGTACACAGAGAAAATCACCAGGAAATCTACAATCCATTATAATAAGGCCTACCAAAACCCCTCCTTGTACTATCCGTCTGCGTAAATTGCACAAATATAAACTTTTGGTACACTTGAGCAAGGTAGTATCAAAGTCAACGTCGGATATCTAGAAATTGAAGATCTCAATTCATTGATCACATCTTTTAGTGGCGAACTCGGTCCAGCATCAAATTGCAAGGGGGACGGCAGTGCGAGGTTTGTTGCTAGTTCCCTGTTCCCAAGATTTGAGAAGTGAAGTTAGTTACAGTATACTGGCATGACTTGTCCACATTTAAAAATAACTGCTACATACAGAGACCATCGTTTGGTTGGCAAGAAATCGTCTGCACCATTGGTATCAATTACAGGCCGGTAGCTTCGCAGAACGAAAGCGTCACTATTACTCCCTCATATAGTCGAGTCGGTGTCACTACTCACAAAACCTTTGCCTGTTATTGTGGATTTGTAATTAGCAAATAGAAATGAGAGTAGATCCACGAATCAGGTAATTTTTATTACCATCTCATCAAAGCCATCCATCCATTTAATTATTGTCGTCAAACCCAACTACAGCCGTTATCTTATTTCTCTCATTATTGTCACCAACATAAATCTGACTCCAGTCTGGCACTACAATTCCATCTTCCTCAACAAATTAACCTCTTCAAGAGACCAGTACGATATGTGACCCTTCCTATCACTACCAGAACTAATCTAGCAGAGTAATTTCGATACCACTTTATGGAAATCTTGAACCATTGTATGATGCCGTTATAAGAGGTGATTTGGTTCGATGGCAGGTGCTGCTAAGGTCCTTTAAATAGTTGCGCTTCTCAATTAATCACGCTTACACATGGATTTCTTTTGGAAGGAGATGTGGGTTTAGCACCTGACTCCTGAGTCCTGACGTATGCTAATGATTCACTGAGAATACTCAGTCAACACACTTGATTCCCTGTTCCATGGCCAAAATAGCATAGGCCTAGTGAATCCCCGATTCGTTGTATTGCTTTCCCGTCTTCAGATCTTCAGAAGCACGCTCTAGTACTCGAGTATATATACTCACAAATCAATCGTATATACTGTTATGTCATCAAATACTACATTTCATTAGAACCGTGTCTTCCTGAGCCTATCGTCAGATCCTCTGCAAGTTTTACCAGGCCAGTACGCTTCCGCAACAGGCAGACAAGTCTTTCAGACCTCAAATAGAGCTAGAGCCATACATAAATATGATCAACCTTGAGGAAGTGTGCGTTGCCATTGCCCTTCTCAGTCTTGTGGTTGAGGATATTATCACCGTGTTGTGCTGCTAGATTTTGTGCTTAGTGTGTGTTTTAATCGTGTATTTCCTTTATGTCTTCGGGAGATGTCTTTGTTCTTTTACGAGTACAGTAACGGATTTTGTTCTTGCATAAGTTTTTGTTGCCACTTTATTTTATTTGTTGTCTCCGAATGACTGGTTATGAGCTGGTATATCTGCTCTTATATCATCTCATCTCATCTCACAATGTGTGTTTTGACTCCAAGTTTCCTGCCAATGGTTCCTTAGACACAACCTCGATCTAGGGCTTGAAATATGGATAATGAGCGCTGGGCAGCAGGGACTTTCAAATGCATCTTCATCTTGCCTGTTAAAATCAAGTTGTTATCACAAGGTAGTTTGGGTAGAATGATCTCTTTATACACATTGTGGATGATGTTAGAACGCTGTGAATTTAGCTCCATGATTACAGAAGATGACTTATATACTAGTTCTTTAAATCATTCGATTCTTCCAACCTCGCTCACATTGAGTGAAGTAAATTCTATTCTATCCAGCAACCCCGCACCATTCTATTACTACCTAGGTATTCACCTCTAAGAATTTCGGGAAATACCATACCGCATACCGGTACACAGTTCTCCTCTTGGCCATAAATAACAGCGTCTTCCCCCATTGAATCCCAAAATTGAACCCGCAACAATTCTGGATCGCTGCATATAAGCTCTTGTCCACCCTTCCAAAGACCATTAAGCTCTGATTCTTAATAACTTTTGCTTGATGGAATGCAGGGGGAATTTGCATGTTTTCTAACTTTTCGTCTGATTTAAGAATTTACCTGCTAGGTTCAACGCTGTCACGGTTTAATCATCATTGCCACTGTTCATCGTTCTTTTTTTTATTACCAGTGCCACAACTTGACTTTTTTTACTGTCATCAACCATCAACTTTTAATCACTAAACACCATACAGAGTTTTCGAAACTACGCCATACCACCATTCATATATAATCAACCCTCTTATAATTTCTCCGTATTACCGTGTACCAAACCACTCACTCGTTCAGTCAACGAACAACCAACCACTCTTCTCCCCTCCCATCCTATATTTTCTAAATCCAATAGCGAATACGTCTCCCTCACCTTTCGCCTTCCATCACACACCTACCTTTTATACCTGGAAAATTCATACTCGAGTAGGTTCCGTCAGATATTCACTATCAACCAAAGTAAAAATAAACTACTCGAGTAGTCTCATTGAAATACTGTAGATACACATTCATGTCAAGAAATTCTATGATATCATTGACATCGTTCCCTGCCAGGTTCTTTCCCATCGCATTCTATTTAAGAAAGCCTCAACCGTGAAGCATTCCGGCACCACAATACCCGAGAACCACAGTGACAATACTTCCATATACGACTACCAACCACCATACCACAGACTCACAGCCCCCGTCACATAAGAAACCTTCCATCCCAAGACCAAACTAAAAGTCATCCATTCATATACAATAAAACAAAATAAAATCCATATACCGGTATCCCTCAGAAAACTCGCATTGCACTTCCAATATCCAGGATCCAAATCCAAATTCCATCTTCTCAAACTCATATAGTTCCCTAAACATCTCACATCTCACACCTCACACCTCACACATTCCCCCAAACACCATCACACCATCACATACCTCCATACCCCCATTATCATCGCCGAGTATCTTCCTGCCATCCCATTCCATCCCATCCCATCAACGCAACACAACAAATAACTATAGCGATTAATTTACCCTGCTCGCAAAGAAAATAGTTCCATGCATGTATGAAATTATTGATATGCTCTCAATCAAGGTTCACGTACCGGTATGTATTCTTGGAGTTTGCTGTTTGCGTGTAATGTTATGTATTACTACTATATTAGTAATTAGTAACTAGAAACTAGTAAAATATTATCCCCATGCCCCCAAAGCTTCTTTCATTATATTTTAGCTTTTGTGCCCTCCCATCTCCCATCTCATATATACCACACCATACCATACCCACCCAGCTCCATTCTTCCCCTTCCTACCCAACATCAGACATCAAACATCAAACAACCATCCACTATACTTTCAAACCTTTTTGTTGATTATACTATAAAAGCTATATTCCGCTGCTTTAACATCTACCCGACTACCTCAGCATACACTTTGAATGGCCTAGTCTACGAGTATATAACGACAACAAGACCAGCCTCGAGAATTAGACTTTCAAATGATTTTTTTATTTTACATGATAAACAACACGCCCCATTCAGCTATCAAAACTCATGATATATTTATCCAATCTATCATTTGTATGTATGCTCATGTACCGCAGATGGGGTATATACATTACATAATACACGCTCGTGCAACAAAAGCATAATCATAATCATGCTGAACAAAAAATGATGGATGCCCGCCAATGATGCCGCTCAATAAGAATAGCCACCAAACATTCCATTAATTTTCTCCCCTCGCGCCTTATCACTAACCCTCCTCTCATGAGCAAAACTGTAAAATCATTCCCATCGACGATAAATTAGCCCGCCGCATTTCGCTCTTGTGCTGCCTGTAATACGTGTTAGTGATTTCCCGTTCAACTTTACAATAATATAATCGAAAGAGATGGCTATAGAACATACCTCCACTGCCCTCTCCCAGTCCGTCCTCATCAAAAACCACCCCTCAATTGCCGCCACCAATCCCAACGCAAGCGCTACTCCCAACCACAATCCCTCCAATTGCCATCCGAGTCCAAATGCCGTACCAAAACTAATTGGCATCGCTAATACATAATAGCAAAATATATTGACATATCCTCCAATTTCCTGTCTTCCTAGTCCTCTGAGTAATCCATTACAATTAGCGGCTAGCGCATCGAAGAGCTGAAACGCAGCGCATAGAGGTAAGACGCTGGAAACGATATTTATGACGTCGAGATCATCGGTGAAAAGGCGGGGGACGATGTTGCGGAGGGAGAAGATGAGTGTGAAGTTGAATAGTCCGACTAGGCAAGCGCCATAGATGGCCTGGTAAGGTTTGTTAGCTAAAGAGTTCTGGGTTATGGGATGCGGAAAACTCGGGAATAGAAGGGAATAGTTCTACGTACCACTTTCGAACTAGTTTTAGCTGCATCTGACAGTGTGGCACCGATGAGGTTTGCCACACGGGTGGACGCTGCAATAGAAATCGAGAATGGGATTTGAAAAGTTAAAGCAGTCAAGGTAGTTAGAACACTTTGAGCAGCGAGATGCGTTACGGAAAAGTAGCTCGATGCTAGAGTTAGGACTTCGAATGCTAGATACTCGGCCAATACCATAACGAGACCAGGAACGGCGAGTTTGATCATCGGACCTGGGTACTTGTTAGAGATTTTGAAAACAAAACGCAGGGCAAAACTTACCCCAGTTATGAAAAGCTCTCCATGTCATTCCATCCCAACAGTCCATTCCATCCACAAACCGAACGTAGAGGAATAGCAAAATAGGTAACAAATTATCCGTCACAGCAACAGCGATAGGAGCTCCAATAAATCCCCACTCAAACTTCCAGACAAACAACCAATTCATGAAAGCATTAAGAGGTGCGCAGATAAGCAAGACATAAGTGGTGGCGGAAAACAATCCTTGCGCTTGCACATATCTCTTCGCACCTTCGAAAAGTGCAAATCCGGGAGCTCCAAGAAGTAGAATTCGTAGATACAGGCCTGCAAGCTCCGCCGAACGTTTCTCTGGTACGATAGTTTCCAAGATTTTCTCCGCACTCAACCAAACTATGCCAATTGGTATTGTTAGAGCCCAGAGAAACCATACCATTCTCTGCAGCTGCAACCCAACGAGACCCTTTCTGCCAGATCCGTATGCCTGCGCACATAGCGTATCCAAACTTGTAGCCAAACCTTGATAAATAGCATATCCGGTTATATTTGCCGTCATACTAGCCAAACTGACCGCCCCCAGTTCTACTTTTCCGAGATGTCCGACTGTAAATATACTCGCAACAGTGAGGGAATATTGTAGAACGAAAGTCACAACCAATGGACTCGAATATCTCAATAAAGTTTTGGCCTCTCGTTGCCATGTTGTCTTGATCTTTCCTGATGCCACCGCTTGCTCCCATTGTCTATTTAATCTCTCATGGCGTGAGCGCGCAGATTCGTGTTGTCCATTTGGCAACAATGCTGAAATCTCCGATGGTGGTCCAGTTTCTTCGTCATCCATTGGCTTTGGTATTTTTGTGCTAAACAACTTTCTGTATAATCGGTTGAAGGCACTTCGCTTTGCCGGTTCGGGATGTTTGGGTGGAGCTAGATGATTATCCCTCAATAGACTCCTCTCCTCATTCCTGGATTCGTGCCTTTCCTTCTTGGTCAACCATGCTGTATCTTTGAATTGGGGGGTAACGGCAGGACGAGTGCCACCAAAAGCCACAAAGCTTGGCCGCCGATACGAATACGTCATAGAATGTTGCGCTTCTTGTCCAACTGTAGAAGCCTCTGAAGACTCATCCCCAGAGCTGGTATATTCATTCTGCTCTGGCGTTTCTACCTCATCTGCGGGGTATTCTGCCAAATCGCGCGCAAGTGATTCTTGAGCTATAGGTGAGCTAGATATGAATGAGGAGCTAAAAGGCGATCTGGACATCAAGTCATGTAAGTGCCCCTCATCTCTAGATTTGATCGGTACTGGAATAGAAGACATTGCTGCGCAATGATTTATTCCTAATCAGTGGTCGAATATACCAAGAAATTGCAGCCCTTGTTTCAATAATAGCTACAGTTCTGACTCTTTCTTATTCCCCTTCCTCCAAGAAAAAAGTCAAGTGTAATAAATAACGCAATGCCGACGGTACTACCGCAACAATCTTCTTCGTTAATGAAGCCGTACCCGTGAACAACAATTGAAGAAGGAAGAAAAAGGTCAAGCAAATAAATAAAACAAGCAAAACTCAGTTGGAATAAGAACTCACTGTCCAAGCCAACCTAGTAAAAGCTTCAACTCTGCAGTACCATTTTCATCTTCTTGCATGTGTGTGTGCTAACATGGTGACGAGAATGGCATCCACCCCACCCATAGGAAAGTTCACTCACTCCAACAGATCCACCAGGTTGTATGCAAAAGAGTTCTCCAACCAATAGCCAGTTTCAATGATCGGAGATGTCATCCTCATTTACAAAAAACTAGACTCTAATAGGCAAGTGTTTCCTTAGAATAGAGGTTCTTAAATGTGTCCTGATTAATAGATTAATTGAGTGAAATGATTCGACGACTCCCGAACACCAATTCCGATAAGATCTGATGTGATAATTTGAAAGTGGGTGGAAACACAACAGAATAGTTTCAGCCTCCAGCCACCCCTTCAAGCATAAAGGGTTATCCGAAGCGAGCTATCCGATAGGAGCGGAATAATAATAGAGCGAGGCCCGCTTTTGAGCCTTGTCTGGACCCATTAAAGAGAAAGTCTGGGGTATGTCATAGTTTAAGGTTGAAGCTTAAATTTGATGTTCATTAATAGGTAGCTTTCACATTTTCAATCCAATTGTTAACTCATCCAAAATGTCCCGTAATCAAGAGGAAGAAGGTCAAGAACCTCAACGGGAATTATACTCACCATTTTATTTTCTCACTCGTCCAGCACCTGTTGATGTTGCCAAGTAAGGTTATGTTTCCCTTAATAATTTTCCTCCTCAATTCCGCTTCCAATTCCAATTCCAATTCCATCCACTCTAACCCTGCCTAGCCCTGCCCTCTTTCTAAACTTCCCTCTCACAACTAATTCTAACTATCTCCCCTCCAGCCACCATGGCGAATCCGTCTTCCTTACCGCTCCCCTCCTGGGTCCCCTTCTCTTCGACAACATCGACAGCGATTGCCGCGACCACTGCGCCAACGAACGAACCTTCCTCTCCTACCTGCGCCTCTCCATCTACATGACCATAGTCTCCCTCGCCATAATCCTCTCCTTCCACCTAAAATCCACCCCGACCGACCTCGAACTTCGCATGGCCCAACCCCTCGGCATTATCTTCTGGGTTCTCTCTCTCGTCTGCTTGGCTCTGGGTTTTGGCAATTATATGAAGACGGTTAATAAATATAGTCGGCGCGTGGCTATTGTGCAAAGCGGATGGAAGACACAAGGAGTGAGTGGTGCGTTTTCTTATCGTTGGCTGCGGGTGGGAGTTGGTGGTTTGTGACGTGAAGTTCGGTCTGGGTTCGGAATTCCGGTTGGTTGTGGCCTGTGTCTTTGATAAAAGAAAGGTAAAGACTTTTGGACTTATGGAAAGAGGTCTGAGACGCAGATGCGTCGGCACTTAAGGGGGTGGATCAAGCGACATACATTCCATTATCCGATCGTAACTTTCATTTAATAGGCTAATTTCAAACAATCTATAGGTTCTCACAACAGTCGCAGTCGTAATAATCGCGGTTTGTGTCTTGTTTTTGGCAACAAGTTCGAAAAGAAGCTAGCATATGAATTGAGATTTCAAAGGGTACAAAGTGCATGCTGATCGGTTTAGTCATAATTCTCTTATCACCAGTTCTAATTTTTATTGTACAAACCACTTTCGAACATTGAATCTCTCTCTCCTGTAAATCACCTTCGAACGTCTAACTTTTATTTCATGGAACATTTTTGAACATTCAGTTCATCTACAACCTCGATTCCGACCAAACTGGTCCGAAATGCGCTTTTATAACTATGGACAATGGTATTCCATATATCAAATCAAATGCGAATGACTTGTTGCATATACCGAATGGAACTTGAAGGTTATTATAGAGATGCTATGTTTATTCGACAACTATAATTCTAATTACAATGAGAAGGAACTTGTGTGTGTCTGATGACAGTTGACAGGGTCAAAATTGGTTGTGCAAATACTAGTACCTCCCAAAACTTCCAGAAACTACAACTCTCCCCTTCATTACAATTTCAATATCCTCGAATCACATAAAATCTCCACTCAACAGAATTTGTCACAACACCATCTCTTTCAATCTTAGCTCATTCGAAATCAACGGTCTAGTGGCTCTACCAATATTGTTGAATACTTGACCTCCAGCATTGAAGCTACCATGTGAAACTCTGAGCTTTTCAAAGTTTTGAACATCAGTGCTGGTGCAGGAAGTATATCGAGGACAGAAGCTGGGGATGTGATCGTAGGTCCTGGGATATCTGCACCTGCTACAGGAATGGGAACAATGGTTGAAGCTACCTGCTCAAACTTTGCCCCAAATACAGCTGCCACATCTGCCAATGCGTTTTGGCTACTAGTAGTCGTAATTGGCTGAGAGGTTTGACTTGCCACTGAGGGCTGCATAGTCTGTACATTCTGAAGAGTGGTTATTGGGATAACAGGTGAGGCGGAGGCTGCTGAATCTGGCGTGGGAGCGGAAGCACCCCCATCAATAGTTGTTGATTGAGATCCTTCACTTGAAGTTGAAAGCTGGAGGGTGGGTACGGTTTGAAGACTGGCCGTTGGTACAATAGGCACAGTAGTGGAAGTTAACACATCTGGTGCGGGGGCAACATGTACAGTGGCAGTTTCAGATGACACCAATGCAGTTTCTGAACCGTTCCTAACGGCTGGACTTCCAATATCGGCGCCAGCAGATTGAGTTATGGCTGTCGACTGCACTATAGAGCTTTGTATCGGTGTCCCGACTACCGTAGTTCCCAGTTGATGGACGAGTGATTGAGAAGAATCGTTCCAGGCCTGTAATGTTGGAAAAACTGCTGACGCTCTGAGAACCGGACTTTCCAAGTTAGGGACGGCTGGCTGGGTAGAACCCTTCTCGACTTGTGGTCCAGGAATCGGAAACCCTGCACCAGGTGATGTGACTTGTAGAGATGAAAGAGGGAAAAGTGATGCTACAGAAGATTGTTTTCCTGGTTGTGACGTTGTAGCACTCGGTATCAGATTCGAGGCGGATAACTTCAAGGAATTGATCGACAAATTCGATAAGACTGGACCAGGGCGTGCAAAAGAAGAGTTTTTGCCACACCCATTAGGAGATAATCCATAGTTGTCGCGTTTTATGGTATCAGCAGCCTAGTACTGTGTCAGTAAGGAGGAGAACCAGAAGATAGAGGAAAACATACCTTTTCAGCTATGGCATAAACTGGTGCCTGCAGATGAGAGGCAGGAAGCATTGGTATGATACCAGCATCAACAATCCTAAGATTTTTCGTTCCGTAGACACGAAGGTCTGGATCCACGACGCCACCCAGCTCGCGTGGCATCATAGAAGTTGCACCGGAGCCGTGGAATTCCGTTCTTAAACCTGAATTGATGGTAGATATCAAGGTTTCTGATGTGACATTGAGGAGAAATGGGTAGTAAGGTCTTGGCTGTAACAACTTCATCGAGTCAGTATTCACAAGTTCGTTATTGAATATAAGAGCGTCTGTCAATATCTGAAGATCGAGCGGATTTGAGCAATATCGTGGGTTGATATCGGGTGGTACATATGGATTGTCTGTTGTAATATGAACACTCCCCCTGGAGAGAGGATGCATTACGGCAACTGAAAGAAGTCCCACATTGTCATTGAGAAGCTCGTAGGCACTGACATCAGAGCGATTGAGAAGCTCGACAATGAGGTCTTTTTGCGCAGCATATCCCGAGATGACGCTTGCATCGAGGCCTGGTACCAGGTGGTCTGTTACTCCTTGATTCTCTGCATCAGCAATTCTGTTAGTCCAATTTGAAGTAATCTGTGACAGTGATGGAAAAGCGACTGTATTAATCGCCCCAGCAGTCCAGGGACCTAAACACGTCAGTACTGGACTCAACATCAGGGGTATAATCCTACCAGTCTTGTTGACGTAGTATTCTTGCTCTGCTTGGGTGAGCAGTCCTTGATCACTGTCTATTTGGACAATGGTTGGGTAGCTAGAATTAGAATCTGGCACTGTTAGAGGTGCTGTGAAGGGAAAGAAGGGTACTTACAATAGTAGACGGCACCAACGTAAGGGTGATCTTGGAAGTTCTCCCCCACTCCTGGCAGATTAATGTGTACTGGCAAGCCGAGCTGCTCAAGGATATATGGCTGGCCGATGCCGGAAAGCTCAAGTATCTGAGGAGTGTGAACACTTCCTGCTGCAAGTATGACTTCTCGTGAGCACGAAATTTCACGTACGACCGTACTGAGAGAAGGTGCAATCTGAACAATGTTAGTTGGAATTTCTTGGCTACCACCTTGAATGTGATTCACTTGCCTGAACACCGGAAATCCATTGACCATCTGGGAGGTTCCGTGCAAGAACTTCTGCAGGAGCTGAATCTACTAAGACTCTAATAACAACTAGGCCAGTGGCAACGTGTAGATTTGGGCGATTGATTGAACCGTCATAGTAACCACGCCTCGCATCAGAACGTGTTTGACTATCCGGTGAAAGGTTATTCGGTATTAGCATACCGCCAGCAGTCGTACCATTGTTTGGGTCGAGTAGGGTAGGAATTCCCAGCTCTCGCAGTCCATCCAGGAATAATTCTGGTGTGTTGTCAGATTCCTACCTTTAGAGTAGCAGAGAAGATGGGGTACTCACGAGACTGAGGATAGAAGAATTTTGGATACGAGACATCAATATATCCAGTCGTACCGTGTGTCGAAGCATCCGGATAAACATATAATTCGTGGGCAAAAGCAGCATCGACATCGTTGGTATAGTTCTCGGTCTGATTGAACATATGGTTAGCCAGGCTTCAACATGAAATGCATGGGTTCTTACTCGTTTAAAGTATGGCAGGAGGTCATTCCATCCCCATCCAGGGTTTCCAAGAGCTACCCACGCATCATAATCGGCACTTCCGCCTCTAGTCCAGCACATACCATTGATGAGACTACCGCCGCCGACACCTTTTCCCATATCCATTGGCCGGGAAGAGCCATCAAGATATGTTTGAGGGGCAGTCCAAAGGCTCCAGTCATAACTTGAGTCAAGACCCTCTCCGTCGTCAAAAGGATACATGATGAAATCTTCGTTGTTGTCCCTTGATTTCTGTCAGCGGTAGCCAAGCAATAATCGACGAACACCTACAGGTTACCAGCTTCAATGACCAGAACCGTTACATCGGGGTCCTCAGACAATCTGTTGGCGAGAACAAGTCCTGAAACTCCGCCTCCAGCAATGATATAATCGTAGCAAGGTAGGAAGTCCGCATTGAGATCACGATGGCCGAGACGTATTGCCGACGTCAGTCCACCGAGCTGGAACGTTAGGAATATGAAGGGAAGTGTATAGAATCCCATTTTGAAATATCAAAAATGTCACGAAATCACGACAGGGTGTCGGTATCGGACCCAGAAATCAAAAAGCAAAAAGTAAGGAGAAGCAAGCAAAATTGGAAGCAAGTTGTGATCAAAAACTCCGTGCAACAAAATGGAGTGTGTTTATTTGAGGAGGAGAAAAAGGGAATTCAACATTTTAACATGGAACAACTAGCCTTTTTACTCGCGCTTTCCTCATCTGCTGAACTGCAGATATGGTGTTCATAGAAAATTCCGTGAGGAAGGAAGGAACGATGATATGATAGATACAGTACATCATCAGATCAAACCATGGATCTTAGGATATGTCCCAATTTTGTGAGTGAGATTGATTGATATCTCAAACCAATTCAGTACAACAAAATGGATTGAAGGTCGCAACCAAATCCAATAATACAAATAGACTCGTCATGCCAATTAATCCAAGAATCTTTTTGTTGGACTGAAATAGCGAATATTAGGAAATCCCATTCACAGCTAAAGCACACCCTGCTCCTAGTGAGCCTCCACTGAGCTTTTTTCATATTCGGGAATTTCCATTAGCCTGGGGCTCCTGGTGAGCTCCTGATGAGTCTTGCCTTACTCTGCACTAATAACAAGAGGATTCATTTCTGGTCTTCATACATATTTCCATATCTCCATATCAAATAAAAAAACCCAGACCCCTTATCTTCAGAAAGAGTATCATATTTGAGAACACATCCACTTACCGCTCACTGTGTCTGCCATCTAAATTTCGTTTGTGGTATTCACGAATTGTAGTCGAGTATTTATCCAAGTACATTAACCTCTTCTATTCGCCTTTGCACCCATCCCGCGTCCCCAAATTTCAACTTTACTACATCCCAACTTTCTTCAAACTTTCCAGAGAAGAACAAGTTTTACTTCCAATATGGCAAATAACAAAAAACTTCATATCCCTTCCGGCCCTAATTCTGGTTGACATAATATCTACCAGTTAACAGCGAGGGAGTTACTCGCCGCGTAGATCCCTTTTTCGAACCTGAAGTTATCGCTTCTAGCCATTAAGGTAGATGACTTGCCAAATACTATTATTGACGAGAGGTGTGGCATTTGGTGTTATCTCTTTGGCTTGCCTACGTGTGCATTGGGATAAATATTAATCTATGAGTTTGACCAAAGCACCTCGTGAAATACCGCCATCCACTTCATAATTTCTTTACCTCAGATTTCAGAGCCAGGCATGACTATATGCCTGGTCACCTGGCAAATGATCCTTTCTTTGAGTTACCTTCCAAAATAAAGCAATGAGGTAAGTTTCACCACTTGGTCATGGATAAGTTTATCCTGTCCATAGCAACCGCGAAATAATTTTCGGTTATTAACAGACCTTTCGAGGTACTATTTTACCTCATATCGAAATTCAGAAGACAATTATCCATCAAGCTGTCGAGCAAGTGTTGAATTCAAATAATCGACTTCCGAAGTGTTTTATAAGATTACGATATGAGCCATGGCCTTGTGCGAGGAATCTTAAAGGGGCAACCTGAGGAACGACCTGCTCCGGCATAATGGGCTTGAAGTTGTGAATATTTCCGACACTTCGAAACATAGTGTACCAATCCACGAGCCATCCTGGCGTCACGTTTTGCCCGTATTTATGGCGTGTTACATCAAGATCTGGTAGAGAACACATCAAAGATCGAGCCCCGAGAGGAAGACAGCTCCAGCCCCATTATGATTGTGGACACATGGTTAAGAAAAAGACAATCGTTAGCTAACCGTTGAGGCTGGTACCATTTTTGATGGGAGTGACAGGGAAGTCATACCTGATTTATTCCCTTACTTTCACTTATTTACATTCATAATCACGGTTGCCATGAGACCGATAGATTCCCCGTTCCCTCATACCGACGGGTTCATACCACACAGTCGAGTACATAAGTCGTAGGTTTTTCAGGTGCGCATGGCAGTAGATCACTGTTTTGAACACTTCCACAGGGCCTCGTAGTTGGGATCTCGATGTACGGTCATCGATGAACAGGGAGTGTGTCAAACGTAGCCGGCGCATTCGTTGTCTGGGACTGGAAACCCGGGACCATGCAAGGAGTGAGCGTTTGAGTCTGCGATTGAGGTTGGAGATAGCTTCTGATCCCCAGAATAGTTTCGTTTCATCTCATAATCGTGGAAAGCTCTTCTAGACGAGTTCAGTAAATAGTGTTGCGACTCTCATCTAAATATATCAGCCAATCAGGCTACAGAAAATGACATACCGATGGACACACCGCCCGGCAGAATTTTGATGTTCCTTCGAAACTCATATATTGCCATCTGGATCTTGTTCTTCTCAATACTTGATGAAATAGGAAGTTTCGCTTTTACATACTATCGAGTTACACAATTGATATTCTGATTGATCCTGAATACTTCATCACCACCCCGGTCTTGAAGCCCGAAATGTTGCCTGCTATTCACAACCGGCATCAAAACTTAATGCAGATCCGTATCCGTTAAAACGAAAAGAGAATGGCTGAACCTATGGATCTTGATTCAGGTGTCGAAGCAACAAGAGGTACAAAAAGAAAGGCTCAAGATGAACTCTCAGAAGTCACAGCCCCTAGGCGTATCAAAGTGAGTTTTTGGCACTCACCCAATCCCAGTTGTCATATTCTGATTATCATCTAGGCATTGGATCCCGATGTAGTCAATAAGATTGCTGCAGGCGAGATTATTGTAGCTCCAGTACATGCTCTCAAGGAACTCATTGAGAATGCAGTCGATGCGGGCGCAACTTCTCTTGAGGTACTTGTCAAAGACGGTGGTTTGAAGTTATTGCAAATCACCGACAATGGACACGGGATTAATGTACGTCTCAATTTGTCTTCATCAGCCCTTTGATACATGAGCTAAGTATTGATAGAAAGAAGACATGGCAATTTTATGTGAGCGCTTCACAACTTCCAAGCTCAAGCAGTTTGAGGATTTGACATCCATTGGAACCTATGGTTTTCGTGGAGAAGCCTTAGCTAGTATTAGTCATATTGCACATCTCACTGTTACGACAAGGACGAAAGATTCTAATTGTGCCTTTCGAGCACATTATGATAGTGGCCGTTTGATACCCGCAAAGCCTGGTCAAGGCTCAGATCCAAAGCCCATTGCTGGTCGTCCGGGTACACAAATCACAGTGGAAGACCTCTTCTATAATGTACCCACACGTCGTCGTGCTTTCAGATCAGCATCAGAAGAGTATAACAAAATCCTTGATGTTGTGGGGAAATACGCTATTCATTGTGATGGGGTAGCGTTCAGCTGTAAGAAACATGGAGAGGCTAGCACCACAATCTCAACACAGATTGTTTCTTCCACTGTAGATCGTATTAGACAAATCCATGGTAGCGGAGCAGCAAATGAGCTGATCGAGTTCAAGTCTGCTGATGAGCGATGGGGGTTCACGGCACAAGGGTGGACGACCAATGCAAACTATCACGTCAAGAAGACAACCTTACTTTTGTTCATCAACCATCGTTCGGTTGAGTCAACGGCCATTCGGAAAGCTATCGAACAGACTTATTCTGCATTCCTCCCTAAGGGCGGACATCCTTTCACATATCTCAATCTTGAGATCGAACCTCAACGGCTGGATGTCAATGTCCACCCCACCAAGCGAGAGGTAAACTTCCTCAACGAAGATGAAATCATCGAGAAAATATGCACCGACATCCGAATGAAGCTCGCCGACGTAGACAAAAGTCGAAACTTCATGACGCAAACCCTTCTCCCGGGAGCTCAAGCACCACTCATACCTGACATGCTTGACCCCGTCGCCTTTGCCGCCGCAGACAAAGCCCGAACCACGTCTAGACCCTACGAAAACAACCTTGTCCGCACCGACGCCAAGCTCCGCAAAATCACCACCATGCTTCCACCTACCACCAAACCAGCAACCACAACTAGAGACGATGCCACCCCAATTCCTTCCGGCAGCACCACAACTCCCGGCTCCCAAGACGTAGAATACACCCACACTGACCGCGAACCCATCGTCTGCCGCCTCATGACCATCAAAGACCTCCGCACCTCCGTCCGCGACTCCATGCACAATACCCTAACCGAATTATTTGCCAGCCACACCTTTGTCGGCATAGTCGACGAACGTCGCCGCCTAGCCGCCATCCAATCCGGCGTGAAGCTCTTCCTCGTTGACTACGCCGCCGTCTCGTCTGCCTTCTTCTACCAAATTGGCCTCACTGACTTCGGGAACTTTGGACAAATCCGCTTCAATCCTCCCTTATCTCTTTCCTCCCTCCTTACCCTTGCAGCTACCCACGAAAAGGCCAATGCGCCCCCCAATATCTCCCCCGAAGATGATTTCGAAATAGAAGACGTAGTAGAAATCGTCTCCGAACAACTCATCTCCCGCCGCAAAATGCTACAGGAATATTTCTCCCTCACCATCACCCCCGATGGCCTCCTCTCAGGAATCCCCCTCCTCCTCAAAAACTACACACCGGCATTATCCAAACTCCCCCAATTTCTCCTACGTCTCGGTCCGCACGTCGACTGGACGGACGAAAAAGAATGTTTTTCCTCCTTCCTACAAGAACTGGCCAGATTCTACGTTCCAGAACAACTACCTCCATCGCCTGGCCCCGAACCTCCAAAATCACAGAGTCAGAGTCAGAGTCAACGAGAGGTAGGAGCAGAAGCAGAGGCCTCCATTTCTCCAGAAATCAAACAGCGCCGAGACGCAGTCCGAAAAATGGTAGAAAATGTCCTCTTTCCCGCTTTTCGCTCCCGTTTAATCGCCACGAGGGAATTGATGGGTGGTGCAGTACTAGAGGTGGCGAATCTAAAGGGGCTGTATAGGGTTTTTGAACGGTGTTGAAATTGTTTGGTGAGAGTGGAAGGGCAAAGGGGGAGGAGTTGGGGGTTGAGGAGGGGGGCGAGGTGCGAAGAAAACGAGATGGTGTTGATATTGGTGGGTGAGAATTCGCTGTACTATATAAGATGAGATGGTATAACATTGCATTGCGCGAGCGGACGGGCTAGATTGTTGCACTGTACTGTAATTATGGGATCGACAGCATGGTTTGGAAGGAGGGTTGAGCTTAGGGAATCGCTTTGCTCTCTTTCGTAGCCACAAGCGAGTGGTAGCATGATAGATAGCACCATACTAGATGAACTAGTACCTGCTATAACCCTACCATTGTTACTCACTCGTACATTCCTATAAGCTACATCACAACAAAATCAATCAACCTCAACAACCAAAGCTAGTAAATCATCTATCATTTCATTTTCATGTTCATTTTCGGAGCCCTTCCCCATCCTCACTCATGCAAGGAAACATGGTATTCATGTCTACCTACTATCATGCCGGCCATTATAATACAATAATTTAGTTTCTTTTCCTTTCATTTCATTCCCTTTCAACCCACTAACTCTTTCCATCTTCCCACTCTGGGTTCTGTTTCAGATATTAGCATTTATTCCTCAAAACCAAAACCATTTTACACAAGTTAAAGGGCTAATGAAGTAACATACCTTTCTCAAAATGACCAAACCCTCCAGGTTACTGCTCAAACTGATATACTGTTCATCCTCCAGTTCCGCTCTCTCGCCATACGCTAAAAGCACGGGGGTACTCTGTGTCTGCCAACCAGTGATAGATTTAGGACGACCAGCCTGTCCTACAACATCGACAGCTTGTCCAACTCGAACGTTGACTGTTAAGGGCTTGAGATCCTCATCAAGAGTGACGAGGAATCTGGGGTGCATGGCTGTGACGAGGTAGTATAGGAGGTAATGTGATTTAGTGGTGACGAATTGTTTGGCATCGATCATGGCGACTAAGACGGAAAGGAGACCACCGGCGGCCACTCTAGAGAGTACTTGGCGGTCGGTGTGGAAGGGATTGATAGATAGTGTTCCCTTGCCCATGTGTAGCAAACCTTGGGCGATTCGGACCATGAACAAGGAGTCAGCATCGCGGTGGTAGTAGCTGGCCAACTGTCGGAGTAATTGAGCAATTCTAGCATTATTGGTTCCAGCACCCAAGAGACCCATAGCAAAGATAGCATTGATCGCAACATCATTGTCATTATCGTGGCTGTAACGAGATAATGTATCATATACCTTCATCTGTGGGTTACTAGGACTGAGCAGACCCATGGCGAGGGGAACGGCTTTTCGGATATTGGGTTCACCGTAATGCATCAAATGAGCGAATTGACGCAAGACCATCTCCTGACCAACATCTTCTCCCATAGCGACCAACCCAAGACCGATTACAGCGTAAGCTTGAAGTAATTCATCACCCTTCTTGTCATCGCTTTCTTCGATATGGTCATTACAGATATGGAGAAGTTCTTGGAGCTTCAAAACTGTTCCGGTTCCAGCCCAGGCGCAAATCTCTGCTAACACAGAGGTTGGCTTGGACATAGGGTGATCAACAGCCTTCAGGGTCTCGAGAATAACATCCACATTCTCTTGTTGCCCAAAGAACAATAGACCAAGACCAAGAGCCATAAATCGAGTCCACTTGTCCTTAAGCTGTGATTTACGATCATCGTCAAGGAAAGTTTGGAAGATAGCTTCGGTGATATCACTGTTAGCAGACCCGACAAAGATCATACCTAAAGAAAGGGCTGCCATGGCAGAAATCTGCATTTCCACGGAGGTATCAGTAACAATGGGTAAGAGAAGCTCCAAGAGTTGTTCTCTATTTGATCCAGCATAAGCAAGACCCAGACCCATAATAGCACCGACTCTAACAAGAGGATTCTTGTGGTTGAGCTTCTCCTCTTCACCGAGAAGGGCGAGAGCAGGTTCCGAATCAATTCGTACTCCGGAGTTCATCATGCCAATTGCCAATAAAGTACCAGCCTGGATTTGAGGTTCTGGGGCATATGTGTATTTGTCGATCTTGTCCAAACCTGTCTCGACGTCCCAGAGAAGTAATGTACCCATGGACGCAACTGTGGACATCATACCCTCTTCTTTTGTCTTCCAGACCCAGCTTGCCTTCTCATCCTCAACCATCATCATTTTATCGTCACCGAATCCAGCATTGACGAAAGCATTGACAAATCCTGCTGCCAAATTGTGCCCAGCAGAGTCGAGGTTCGTTAATCCCGACACCCTGTTACTCTCTAGATGGCTCTTGTAGATGTCCTCGGTCGTCTTTGGATCCAGAATATTCAGTTCCTTGGCCAAAGCCTTGAAATGTTCCGGCATCTTTGTGTTATACATACACTCCAGAATTTCCTGATCCTCACTCGTTTCGGATGGTAGGTCGTCAAGAACGATTCTTTGGCGAGCAATAAGGAAAGCCATCTGCTTCTTCAATGCCGGGTCTGTGGTAGAATCGAAATCGGATCTGACGAGAGTGAGATCGTTTAATCTGATGGCAAGGACAAGTGCTTGGGTAAGTTGGTCATATTGCTTGTAGATGTCGTGTGCAGTTCTGAGGAATGCCTGGTCCTCTGGATAAGTCAAGAGATTGACCATGGTAACCATATAAAGGCATGCTCGTGTATAGGTATCCTTATCCAGGAAATCTGGAATTTTATCGATAATTTCAAGCTCGCTCATTAAGTCGACAGCATCGGCCTCGGCGTTACTCTTCAAGAACAGCGGTACGAGAGTCAAGGCTAAATCAATAAGATCTTGAGTTGGTTGGTCTTCCGCTAATCTCTTGCTGTACATCTCCCCCAATTCCAAAGCAAGATGCCGTGTATATTCGTGACCCCATGAGGCAATATCTGACGTAGGTGCGAGCAATCGATATTTAAGGGTATCTTGCCTTTCTTCGTCTGAAAATGTCATACCAATAACTGAAAGCACATCTGCGAGAGATGTTTTATCATCCCCTTCCGGCCATTGCTCGTACAGCTTGATCATAGGTTCGTAATGCGGCCTGAGGAACTTGAGAGGTTTTGGCACAGCGGTCATAGACGATGTGGAGGTCTTGATGGAATCTTTGATGGCCTCGAGAGCACTTTTGTAGAGAGACTTGTCGGATTCCTATATTTGAAATTATTAGTTTTACCTACAACATCCAATGATAAGTGTATGCATACAGTCAATCGTTCCACCAGCATATCAAGTTCGCCCTTCAGTTGTTGATCTTCATCACTGAGCTCCTCCGCTATTACAAGACTATGTTAGTAAGTATGCATCGAGTCGATTACTAACAACATACCTCCCACAACTGGCTTTTCCTTAGTGCCATTAACAATAGGCTTTCCATCTTTATCCTTCTCTACCTCCTCTGGCTTCTTGGGATCTGAAACCGCCTTGCCTTTGCCCTTGTCAACTGACTTTGGTAGTTCGCCGTCTTGCGCCATGTTGTTTCTAGAGGTTGGTGTGGAAGCGGCGTTTCTGGATTTGTTGGGGATATCGAAAGAAAGGCTAAAGAAAATGCGCAAGAAGGGTATAAATCACCACAAGTGAAGCTGTAGTCAAAGTGAGAGGTATATCGTAGAATTCGTGATAAATTTTGGATTCTTAATAAAGTTAAGGTCCTCCAGGCAGGTCTGCTTTCGCGTCTAAGCAGCTTCACCAGATCATAGCTTGAAAGTAACTTGTAGTGTCCCTAGCAGCCGAAAAGCACCAACCTCAATTTCACACCTGAAAAAAGAGGGTGAATTTAGTAAAATACTTGTATTGTCATAAAACCACACCACACCCACACAACTAACTCACAGCCCAACGGCAGAAAATCCCAAAAATAATAATCCCCAAGAAGACTATTGAATTACGAATTACAACAAAATCCCATAAACAACTTTCAAGATGAAGTTAGATACCAAGGCTATGCGGTATTTGACCGCCGAAGACTGGCGCACACTCACAGCCGTCGAACATGGCTCCAAAAACCATGAAGTGGTACCTACCAAACTCATCGAACAATTATCAGGTCTCCGAGGCGGGGTTCACAGATGCATATCAGCCCTCGCAAAAATCAATTTGATCGCACGACTCAAGAACGCCAAATACGATGGTTATCGTCTTACATATGGAGGACTCGATTATCTTGCCCTCCATACATATCAGAAACGCAAGGATGTATACAGTGTAGGAAATCAGATTGGTGTTGGAAAAGAGAGTGATATCTTCGTGGTGGCGGATGAGAAGGGAGTGCAGAGGGTACTGAAGATTCACCGATTGGGACGAATATCATTTAGAACGGTCAAGGCGAATCGAGATTATCTACGCCATCGATCTTCGGCATCATGGATGCATATGTCACGATTAGCAGCATTGAAGGAATTCACGTTTATGACGGCTCTGCGAGACAATGGATTCCCGGTCCCGGAACCACTTGCACAATCTAGACATACTATAGTCATGTCCTTGATTGACGCATTTCCCATGCGTCAGATATCTTCCGTCCCAGACCCAGCGTCTCTTTATGCCGAACTTATCTCCATGATCCTTCGCCTAGCGCAATATGGCCTTATCCACGGTGACTTCAACGAATTCAACATCCTACTCAAGGAGGAAACCAACCCAGAAGACCCCGAAGAGCCAGTCACTTTGACTCCTATCCTTATTGATTTCCCGCAGATGGTTTCTGTGGATCATGCGAATGCGGAATTCTACTTTGATCGAGACGTTAATTGCATCAAGCGTTTCTTCAACCGACGATTCCATTTTACAAGCACTGAAAAGGGCCCCCATTTCAAGGATGCTCGCAAACTCATAGGTAAGGACGGTGTGCGACGGCTAGATGTGTCTGTCGAGGCATCTGGATTCTCAAAGAAAATGGCGAAAGAGCTCGAGGCATACATGAAAGCGGTAGGCGTTGATGGTGATGGCGAACCCGGGGCGAAAAGAAGTGATGATGAATTTGACGATGATGACGATGATGACGATGATGACGAAGAAGAGGTAGAAGAGGTAGAAGAGGAGGCTGCGGATAGCCATGAAGGCGATAATCATGCAGATCCTGAGAATAAGGAGCAGCAGAATGAAGGGACTGTGGAGATAGAACCGAAGGAAGATGCAGGACCGTTAGATGGTGGCAAGGAGGAACTCTCATTGTCCAATCTTAAGATTGAGGAGAAAACTTGATTTCATTTCTCAGACAAAACAAAAAGAATAATCTATCTATACTAGATACCGGCTTATCGCTTGGCTCGGGAAGTTGTCGCTTACTTGTGGTGACCTATGCGATCAGCGTTTGTGGTTGTAACTATGCTAAAAAGCACTTGAATGATTTCTGCTAAAATCAGGGCAGTCGCAATCTAATAATATACTTACAAAATTATTTGTTTCAAAACCAATTATATGGGTGTCAATCACTTTCAAAAGTAGAGAACAACAGAAGCCCGCCCTATTTTGTAACAGCTCAAGACAATCACGTTTTCCCCCGAGACCGCATAGTATGGAGAAATGTGCAAATTTAGTCAATTATGCTACAGAAAGGCCCTCCATCTATGTATGACTGTTGCAACAAGAGCAATGAAAACCGAAAGAAATTACAATGAAAAAAGCAAGCTGCCTGATATCCTCCCACGCTGACATAAAAGTAATGTTTCATACCACTATCGTCAATATGTCACACCCTCGTGGATGTACAGATCGCCAGGCTCGAAAGATATTGAATTAGAAGCGGGTATGAATGTAACATAGGTAATACTTCCGCCAGGTATGTATGTATGCTTGGTGAATAAGCATGTATGCTGGGAGGTATGGATTTGTCATAAAAGTTATCGTGGAAAACGTGTCGTGCCTCATTGCCGTGAGGTAGGTATTCGTGCAATAATGAAATTTGGTGGACAAAAATTGGGTAAATATTGACATGAGGGTATATGATGATACAGGACCAGGTCGAAATTTCTACTTGCGAGCAGATGGGGAAGTGTTGGAAGCACTGTGCGCAATAGAGGCACTGTGAACAACAACTGGAGAATCGTGAATGGTGACTCCATCATCGGCAGAGCCGCTCTCAGAAACGGTTGGAGTGACGCTGTCAGCAAGTCAGCATGTCAATCCCACACATACAGTCAATGTATTCACTTACTGGTTCAAAGACTTCTTGGGAGAAGCTTCAGTCAAGGAAACTTTAACAACCGATCGGTCTAAATCCTTGAAGCCTGAAACATGTCCAACAGGGCTGCATGTATGTTAGCTCTGCTTTTGCGACACAAGAAAGCTGCAACCTACCTTGGAATACCATCTCTCTTCCAAGATGCGCTGGATCTGGAGCCAGGAAGGTGTCGAGCAATCTGAGAAGCTCGTGGGAGGATTGGCGATGGCATTGGGGGAGAAGCCAATGCAATCATATCGGCAGCAGGAGCACCGTAAGCTCCAACGTTGTACTCGTTGGTGCGGAATTGACGACGCTCGGTGGTAATACGCTTCAGGTCCTTTTGTGCTGGAGTATCTGCGTAACGGACTTGAAGCAAGAGGCCTTCTTCACCGATGGGTTGACCATGGAACTTTCTGATGATCTCTTCGCAGACATCACGGTTCTCGAAACTGTGGCACAAAAGTCAGTCTCATGTGCTGGTGGCAGGGTGAAAATTTGTCAAACTTACCGAGCAAATCCAACTCCACGGCTGTGGTTTTGGCTATCACGAAGAATGCGACTGCTGCTGACCTTGTAGTCCATAAAGATAGCACCAAGTTCCTACCCAAAAGATTAGTCGAAGTGGAGATAGGTGATGATGAGTAACACTTACAGATTCGGTCATGGTCTTTGGCAAGTTAGAGACGTAGAGATTGGTGGATGCCTCATCGCCCTCTGCCTTAAGACGAGCATTGAAGGATTCCTGTGAAAAGTTAGCAACGATCAATGTATGTTATGGTTGGAGGCATACTCTAGCAAAGCCAACTTCATAGCCAAGTTCCCAGAAGCCACGAATGCAAAGTTCCGAGTCGCGAACATCGAAGTACTTGGCAAAACCGAATCTACAAAGCTGTTAGTGGCCAGGAGAAGTTCCTATCAAATGGAATAACTTACCCCTTGCAAGCACCAGTGGCTGTGTCGATGATTGCCTTGGAAGTCTCAACCTTGCCGAAGCGAGCAGCATATTGTGCCAGTGTCTCATCATCGGTGTTTGGGTGAAGTCCACGAATGTAGACATTACGGTTGTTCTTGATGGGATTGTGCAAGCTCTGGTCCAGAGTTCTCATGTTCTCGGTTGGGGTAAAGACAGCAGGAACGGCCTTTGGAATGGGTGGGAATTGCTTCAAGAGAGCTTGAATGTCAACACCAATCGGAATCGTGGGGTATGGAAGCGCCTTAACGAGCGATTGACCATGGGGAACCGGAAGCTGCTGAGGAGAAGGGGTCGAGCCGAATGGAGATCGGTCGATGGCAGCGATATGAGCACCAGACTCACGATGGGCGAACGAGGTATAATAAGGTGTTCCAGGAAGAGATTCAGTAGTGGAGTATGAGCCGCGACGATTTTCAAGACCAGGAACATCCTTGGTGGAGTGAGAATGATCAGATCTATCAGGATAGTAGGCAGATCTCGCGTTTGGAGTGTACGGGATATTCTGTTGGTATCCTGGGACATAGCCAGGGTAAATTGAAGATGTCTGTGCAAGGTATGGCAATGCTCCAGGGAAGGAGTTCATGTTGTATGCATTATCAGACAACTGCTGAGGGGCCAACGACTGCGGTTGAAACATGCTTGGTGCATATACAAGGCCATCTGGTGTGACTTGAAAGTAGACCTGACCTGTTCCCAAAGGATGTTGGTTAGCAGCCATTGGACCTGTAGAACCAGCCATGCTGCCAGGGATAGATAGACCAGCAAATTGATTGTGCATTGAGTTCATGGAACCGTCTCCAGCTTGGGTAACACCAGTGCTATGGCTGCTGCCAGGAATAGATAGACCAGCAAATTGATTGAGCATTGCATTCATGGCACCGTCTCCGGCTTGGGTAACAGCAGTGCTTGCTTGTGCAAAAGAGGTTTGCTGACCTTGGGAGTCCCGAGCTGTGCGAGCTTGTTGCTGGGTGTACATAGTTGTAGTATTTCGGTTGGGGAATGTATTGGCTGCTTCAGGATGGGTAGCAGATTGAGGAGGGTAAGACATGGTATCCTGTAGTAGCAAGTATTGTTAGTATCAAGATATGAGTTGATGATTGATCAAGGACGAAATTGATGGTAGATGGAATGTATAGAAGAAAGAATTAAGGATGGGAAGATCGGAGGTGGAGGAGTCAAGAAAACAGTTTCCTTGTGGGTCGGAAAAAGTAGTGAATAAGGCAACCAAACATCACCGATGGGAAAGCTGTACTACAGGTACAAAGTGACTTGTGAAGATTCAGAGAATTGACACATTGCTTGACTCACTTTCACAGTTCTTGACAAGAACACGCTTTTGACTCAAATAATGGTATTCTCGAGCAATCCAACTGAAGATTTTCACAGTTAGCAACAGCCACTTGAAGTACAAGAGGTATAGAAATAAGCAAATGAGGAAAAGTTATATACCCTTTCAAAGACGATTGGATGGAGATTATTTCCTCTTTTGATAGCGTTCTCCAGGTGTGTGATAGGACGAGTAGAAGTAAACTTGAATAAGCTACTTTCAAGAAACAGTGAAGAAAATGAATTCAGTAGCGAGTAGAGTTTTCTAGAATGATAGAAAGCTATCGAGCCAGATGGTTGTTGTAAGGTAGAGATTGTGATGAAGAATTGGTTGTAATGTGATTTGAATGAAGAAGAGGAAAAGGAAGAGAAGAAGAGAAAATGAAGATGTAGGAGGGCAAGAAGACTAAGAGAAGTCAAGGGTCGATAAAATACAGAATGGGAAGGAACGAAGTTGAAAGTATTTGAGAAAGGGCAACTGGTGCCGGGATCCAACCATTGACTAGTTATTGTAGAGCCAAAGTTGATAATTGCTATTTCTATAGCTAGGATTGGTCTATTCAAATTTGGAAGGTGTTGATGATTGATGATGGTAATGGTGATAATGAATTATTGAATGTTGATATTTGTGTGCAAGAGCAAGAACTGATAACAACAATTTGATATTTTGGTATTTCTGATAATAATGGGAAGGTTCGAGTTTCCCTTTCTGTTGGCTTAATAGTGAAGTTAATAAGACTGAACTGGAAAGAATGAATCAAAAAGTGAATTTTACATCTGGAATCATTATCCAAGAGTAAATTAAAGATGAGAACTTGAACATACCAGTTTTACCTAGTTACAGTTCCAGTTCTAGTTACAATTGATCTGAATGAATATCATTAGATATGATTATCAATGAGTAACTTTTTGAAAGACTTGCAGATACCTAGGTAAACAAATTGTATGTAGAATATCAAAGTAGATATATATGTACTAGCTATGATATAAATAGTAGATAGGTAATAGACTTGAAGTGTCGATAATCAAATCGACAGATTACTTTCATAAGGCAGTGATAAGGCAGCAACCACAAAGTAATATGAATTCAAATAGGCAGATATGGTACTGGTGAGATAATGTGAAGCAGGTATTGTGAAAGTGATATGTAGAGATATGAAGTGTGATCGCAAAGTAGATGATAGCTTCAATAATGCCAGAAAAATCAAATGGGACCACCCAAAGTTTCAAACTACAAAACCTTTACACTTTCAAATACTCAAACATAGAGATAAAGTACAACTGAGAGGGGAAGCTTCTTGAAGATGATAAACATGAAGGGAGGGAACAAAAATAGGGGACAATGGCCTTCTTTATATGTGGAAGATGCATGTTTTACGGATATGCATGAGCGATCCCATTGCAAAGCACTCCAGATTGTGTAAAGAGCACGAACAAGGTATATGAAAGCCATGTGGTCCATGGTGGTGCAAAGAAAGTACCTGGTGAATAATTTGCTTCTTCTGTCCCATTCACCATCATTAACACCACAGAAAAGAGTAGGGGTAACTTTTCCTCGGTCCCTCGAGTTCATGCAAGTGCAATGGCTTTGTCTGTAGTGTAGGTAGTCTGTGGAAATACTCGAAGCTCATGTATGAAATGTAATGGGGTTAAGCTTACAGTACAAAACTGATCAACAAACGCCTTTAGGTACCGAATACAAAATCTAGTCAGCTACATTGTCATTGTCAATAGGCTGCCCTAAATCCAACCATTCCTGTCAACTTCTATCCGTATTCTTATTGGTGATCATCTGGTATGATTCCTATGCCTATTGGAATAGAACCTCAGTACTCATCTCATATGAACATGATGATTCGGGTCGCAAGGAGGTAGTAGGGCTAGCTGCATCCAAAATAAGCACCAGCCAGCCGAATAGTGAAGAGATTTGTCACAGTTGGAAGATCGCAGATCTGTACATGAATTGTGTCCCGCTTTGGAGAGCCTCTCCAACTTTGGACAAGTAAGACAAACGCAAGGGACGTTCATGTGTGTCGGATATTTGTGCTGTCTAAGGGGAAAAAGCAAACGCAGAACAATAAGAGAGGGGAGCTAAAACAATAAGAGGGGAACCATGAGCGAGCTGACGTCAAGTCCAATCGCCCTTCCTTCGATACTACAACTATAATCATTTTCAAATAGATTAACAAGGATCATCCAATATATCCTAGATGCAGATTGTTACAGAAAGCTGTCATCCAAGATCAAGATCAAGACCTTCGGTGCTTGCGATGGCTGCACAATATCCGAGCGTTGTGCAACCCATCCTCCTCAGCCCCTGGGTTTCGCTAATCAGATACCCGCTTGTACCGCAAGTCTAACACCCAAAATACAATATGCAACTAATCTCGATGGAAAACCTTGAAGTATTGTGACATTCTAATTGGTTCGCAGCCATAGCCATCATGGATTTGTGAGATTTCAATTGGTTCGCAGCGATAACCAGTGACCGGGTTGAGTAAACACGATGCTGCAGATAGGGTTCCTACCCGATTATTCAATATATTTCTCAGATGCCCCTAAACGTCTTCCTACCTTTTGATCTTGGTCTTTCGCGATTTCAGTTCTTCTTTGTGAATGAAAGTTGGCCAGTGAGATAGATGATTGACTCCACATCCCCGCCTCAGAACCATATGTTGCGCCATGACCTCTTTTTTCTCCCTCCACCAACCTCTCCTGCAAGGGTTTGACCTGCCTTTTTTTTCAGCCCAGATGGATGATTTCCATAAACTCAGTAGATACGAGCACATGTTCGATATAGATCCATCTTATCAGTAGTGATAGATAAGATTGATTGCACATCCTGCACTCAGCACGAGAAGTTGGGATATATATGGACTAGCTGCTAAGGTTACCCACAGACATTATTTCAATTCTCGCCTAGAAATCTATTTCGCAAGCTTCTTATATTCAAGGACTGAATATCCGGATTTCGGGCACGCGGATTCGCGGAAGATTCTCTATGGAGTTTGTTCAGATGCGATATAGTTCTTAGATAAAGTGCTCCGGAATGTGAGAACCACTCCGGGGCACAAGTTTGAAGCAAGCAATTGCCTTTTCAGTCCCACATTCTTCTCTGGTTAACGATGGAAGTTCACGCGAGACTATTCATAACCCCCTGTTTTTTATTCTATGGAAGAGTATTAGAGCGGATGTTGATTCATCAAAACCGCAATCTTGAATGTCAATTTGGATGTCGAGATCTAGGCTCAAAACGACTTCTACCTACTGTACGGTACTAGGTAGCTTATCATCCGCCATGGCGCAATATATATGGGATGGGACGCCCGCTCCCTGGTCAATATATGTGCGTAATCACTCCGCAAAATTTCCACCCATGCACCTACGCCAATACCACCTCCACATCTTGGATATAAATTGAGGACCGTTTAGCCGCTAGTCTTGTTACTGTTACATAGCTTGGTGATATTTGACCTGTCTAAGAACCCATTTGCTGCACCTCTCTTTCAGCTCTGCCTTCGAATGTATATCAAGAACCAAGAGTAAGTGCAACTATAGTATTAGACCGCAGAACTCTAAGAGCTATAGTATAGTTTAGTTTAAGTCATCCAAACTATCAATTGGTTTAGATAATAATATTCAAATTATCAGTTAAACTATAATCTTTCAAACTATCAGTTTCTCAACTGGTTCAAACTACTAACTATACTAAAGAGCTGTACTCTTCGCTTTCTTTTAAATATATCTCTCTTCTTCTCTTTTTCTTCACTTTTTTCTATATATTTCTTCTATTTAAATAAGAACTTCTTTGAATATAAAGTTCTATTTTTTATTTCTAATTCTCTTACTCTTTTCTCAATAAATTCTATAATAATATCTTTTATTATAAAAAGCTAGATTTCGTTAGATTATAATAAACTAGAAATCCGAGTCTTAGAATATCTTTTAATATAAGAATAAACTAAATATTTTATTCTTTTCTAAATTTTATTTATTATATATTCTATATCTTTTATAAAGTCTTATAAAGTCTTATAATCTAGATTTAATAAATACTTTCAAAATAAGATTTAAAGATTTAAAACTATTTCTATCTTTATTTTAAAACTATCGTTATTTTTATTTTATTTATTTAACTATTAATTAATAATAATTTTATAAATACTCTATTGAAAAACTTTTAATTATAT